TTTGGGATGTGACTACATGTTTCTTTACTCAAAAGGCTTATGTACGAATGTATTATTCTCAGAAAAATGCACAGCCATTGAGTTCCTCTTGCTCCTGTCTTGTGTGGCTTCTTGACTGCTCTAGTTTAACTTGATGGGGCTTTTTTAGTAAGTTATGGTATTTCTCTTAACTGCCTCCTAATGACACCATGCTGATAAAAATCTTAACATTTCTCTCTGTCGTTTAAAACATAACTTAATACTTTGTGTGCACTAAAGTAACGGTCACTTTCTTTTTCTTTAGGATTTTTTTTGTGTGCTGATGTTTCAAATTCTGATACAGATCTGGGTAATCTGTGCCTGGGACTTGGACATTTTGTAAAACACCAGCTCAATTTTAGAATAAGATGATGCAAAACACTAATATTGATTGGGGGGGGGGCACTTGTGGTTTTTATTCGTTTGTTTTCCAGTTCTGCGTCTTGCTGGTTTTAGAAGTTTTTATTTTTATACTTTGGATATGTTAGTTTAATCCATCATACAGTTTTCTCATTCTGACGACAAGATGGATCAGTTCTGGACAGTATTATGGTATGACCTCTATTGGTGGTCCAAACTTACATCTTCCGTTTCAAAGCTTACATTATAAATGCTGCCTTGGGGAACATATTCCTACAAGATTAGCTCAGAAGAATAGACAGAGGACTGCTATATTTATATGAAAAAATGATATTGAAGGTACTTCCCTAACTAATTAATAGTAAAATTGGCAATCTTTACCTTGTATGATTGATAATATATGATACAAACTAATGATACTGTTGTCAAAATCTTCAGCATTGAGTTAAATCTATGGAATGTTTTTAAAGCAAAATATGAAAAGACATAATTCCATGAAATGATATGCAAAACTTTTTAGCTTAAATCCTGACCTGCAGATGACCTTCAAATTAATAAGAGTTCAGTGCTTTATCAGAACAGATGTTAAAGGGGCAAGGTCTTGAGCTGCATATATATATATAATTAGTAAGGGACTCTAGAATGGATTTAAAATGGATTATGTTAATTCTGATCTTAGAGACAGCAGTCAAAAACCTTCCAGATGAACTAACAGTGTTCTGATAAGCTGATCCATGTAATTTAAATAAAAACCTTTTATACGATTTTGATGCTATTATGGTTTTATTCCCCAGAAGTCTCACCATGTGGCACTCTTGGTCATTTACTATTTAAAAAACCAAAAACCACCCATCAAAACCCACCAGACCCCTTCTTATCTGCAACATTCCCATCACCTTATGTGTATTTTATATAAACCAAGTATATAATAAACAAAAGCTCCTAATTTACACTTGAAGCCTCTTTATTTGCAGTCTTCTGAAAGCAGTTGTATTCTGGCATAAAAGAGAATGTTTTTCCAATCCTCCAGCTGTGCTGAACTGTTAGCTTAGAAATGTCTTGATAGAGAAAATTCAAAACAATGTGTTTAGTTCAGAATGGAACAAGAAGTTATGACTGAAGTATTAATAATTTGTTATTGCTTATCTACAGAAGGAGATCAGCAGCTTGAATTGTATTTCAGTTTGAAAGTGTTTACTTGCTCTATCTTAAAATTAATATCCAGAAGCAAAAGAACTGGAAAGGACCCTTTTCCATGTTTTCTTGTACATTTGAAGGGACTTGGCTCATTATCAACTCTTCCCTTTAAAAATGGCTTGGTAATTTTCTAATACTGACTTTCAGGAAGATAAGGGAATTAAGGTCATAATACAAAAAGCTAAAAATGAGCTAAAGATATTACTCTGTATTTATGGAAAGAAAGGATTGGAATTAAAAGCAAGTTAACTCAGTCTGATCTCAGTTTTTCTGCTTTTCCCATTCAAGATCAAACTAGAAGGCATCCGTTCACCTTATTCTGTTATAATAGGCCAAACTAAATGCATTTTTCTAAAAGCCTCCTGGGCTGATTTGCTGGTAAGAATGGTGTGTAAAGGAAAATTATTGTCACGTCTACAACTAATTGCTGTTCTATTAATGTTTAACTTGTTTGTTGCACCTCTTTTAAAAATGTTGATATCACAGATCTGTTGATCATGGTGTTTCTGTTCATTGCTGCCTTAGTTTAGCTGTCTATCCCAAAATGGGCCCTCTTCTATTTTGCTTCATCTTTTCAGTAAACATTTTCACAAGCATTCTGCCTTAGGAGCCTGTGTGACGTTTGAAAATAAAATAGAGAAAGGTATTGGCTTCAGGAACAGGCACATAGGAGCCTGGCTCAGCTCTGAATCACCTCTTTTGGTGTTCATCTTTACTGATTGTAAGAGGAAGCATGGAAAACCAATTTCCCTCAATTAAAATTTCCTTCGTTAAATGTTTCCCTAAATCAACTGGCAGCGTCAAGATTTTACTTATGTGCTGCAGGTCTGAAGTCGATAAATGGTTTTAGCAAATAACTCTTGGCCCCCCAACGCCTGTAATCTGTGAGAGAACTGAGAGTGAAGACATGTAAATAACTGCAGTAATAGAGTTGATGCCTCAATATTTGGTAGCTTTCTGTTGTCAAAGTTGTCTGAGTCTTTATTTTTTAATTTGTTTTGCAGCTGAATCACTTTTTATGGTTGGTTTAAACTTGAGTATTTCTTTAAACTCACTGTCCCTCATGTAAAATTTCACAGCATAGTTGTGATTGTACCGTACAACATCTGCGCAGTGTATGAACACGAGAGGAAGTGTTCTTGGTGTTTTGTTTTTCGCTTCTGTCAAGCCATATCTTCTGTATTTCTGCTACGAAGTCTGTAGGCTAACAGAACATGGAAGAATGGAGAAAATTATGGGGTCTTTGTTGTTTTTTTTGTTTGGTGTGGTTTGGTGGTTTGTTTTTTGTTTGTTTGGGATTTTTTGGTTTTGTTTTTGTTTTGTGTGTGGGTTGTTTGTTTTTTTTCCTGGTTTGGTTTGGTTTTTTAAATACCCTCTGACCTTAATGCTTGTTCAAAGTAGTTGTTTTCTTGGTGGAATATACTATGTTTTGTCAGAAGAGTAAATAGATTCGTGGTTTACAGCAAAATAAGATACACTGCTGACAAAAAATATTGCTTGAAATAAGTGTATACATGTCTTCCAACTAAGGATGGTGGAAGGGGTGGGTGTGAATGTCTGTCTGTGTTCACATATACCTGAAGAATACAGGCACGCTTTGCCAAGGCTTTTGTCATTGTTTGGTGCATGTACTGCAGTGTTGAGTGATTGGCAATTTGTGTTTCAGAAAAAAGAACTCAAAAAAAGCCCCTCATAAATTCATTCTAGAAGGGAAGATAACTGTTAGGACTTTAGTGCCTCCATTCTGCAAGATGCTCCATGTGGCATTAGGAATCTACTGATCAAAACAGCTAATACCTTAGAAGCCTACCTAAAATTTTTACTTGACAAAATCACTCCGACAGATCACTGCTTTTTTCCAAACTAAAGCATTATATGGATGACCATTTTTCTTAATTTTCCTGAGAACAGAGTAATTTCATTAGATATATATTGATTGCATGTATTATATTGGTATCCTATATTTGATAAACAAAGTATTTTATTAAAATGTGATAAGAAGCTACATAATTTGATTTTAATCTCTTTGTAGATACTATTCTGCTTTAAAAACAATGGAACAGCTAGAAAATCTATATCTTCCTAGAGTTAGCCAATACCGTTTTTGCCAGATAATGATAGAAAATCTTCCAAAACTGCGTGAAGAAATAAAAGAAATATCCATGTCAGATCTCAAGGATTTCTTAGAGAGTATTCGAAAGCACTCTGACAGAATTGGGGAAACTGCCATGAAGCAGGTAAGCTGACCTAATAGGATGACTTCAGTCCTGTTATCTACTGAAAATGTCAGTGTCAGTAGTCTTAGGTTAGCCCAAAAGATTTGTGTAAGGATTATAGCCGTCACAGAGACCTTTGAGTAAAGATGGAGAGCTGTGAAACGCTTGCTAACATCTAGGGTAGTTTCTTCTCCTGGACATGAAGCTGTTGATTGTAGCAGTCCCTGACGAATGCAGGAAGCAGCAGCATGACACCTCAGTAGCATCAAACTTCCCTTCCAAATTTGTATCTGTGTCCTGGACAAGTCGTTTCCTCCCAGAGAAAGGAAGGAGAAATGCTGTTTATCTCAAGTTGTGAAAAACTGTGAAACACTTTGAGTAGTCAACTCCTGGACAGTCTGGAACTCAACAGCTGCTACAGCAAAACAAAGAGCAGCCCATCTGGCCAACCAGCAAAGATGAATAAGACTAAAAGAAATGTGGAGATAACTGCCTAATTCTTTCTAAAATACTGCTAGTACAGGGCACAGTATTGGCACATTAACCTCCAGAGAGAGCACGTTACAGAGGAGAGAGGGCAGAGGACTGAGGTGAGAGCCAGGATCAGACTGGGACAGCTGGAGCCCTTGCCTGTTCCATCACAAAATAATCTGCCACGTTACAGCACTGCTGCTGGGCAAGGTTTAAAGCAATTACTGCTTTTAACATTTATCTGGAGAGCAAGTGAAGTTTTCATTTGACTTTTTATTGGACAGAGTTCAGGTTGGGTAGCCGTTTTGTCATCTAAGGCTCTTGTAAAATGCAGCATTGATTATTAGAAATGAAACTTAATTGCAAGACTACACTGTACTACCTTGCTGCATTTCTTTCAATAGTAAGGACAATGTAGTGCATTTGGCTTTTGCAGCTGCTTGCTCACAAGGGCTTAATTGAAGAAACTGGAAATAGCTGGAAACTATGTGATAACTGTACTTCATTTAAATATTGATTCTCTGTTTGCAATTTATGATCAGGAAAATTATAGATTACTTTTAAAAATTTTTCTACCTTTAAAATTACATTCTGGGGATTAGGGAAAAATGATGCAGAAATTAGCTATTGGAATAATTTATCATCCCAAATCTATTAAGGACAAAACCATCGGTGTAAGCTGAGAACACTCATGTTGCAGTTGTGCTGATGTGTGTTCAAGAGCACCACCCTTTTTCATGTCATACCATATACTCATGTGTGATGAAACTTGCATTACATCCCTCTTTATTGGTGCTACTTTTGAAACAGGCACAGCAGCAGAAAACCTTTAGTACCACTCTTCAGAAGCAGAATAATGTAAACTATGGTCGGAATATGCATTTAGGTAGAAGCAGAATTTTGGAATCCAGGAATGAAATGACATTGAAGCGAACGTTTGAAGAAGATGATGAACACGAAGAAGAGGTAACTTTACACTAATCAGAACGTCTTACTTAAAGTGATTTTTGTAGGTTTATTGAAGAAAATTTGCATAATGCTGTCTGTAGATGGTCAATGTTTGTTAGGAAGGACCAGAGAACACCTTTGAGCAACACCAGTCCAGATCAGCATTTTAGGGGAAGAAAACAGTGCCAAAATACCAGTTGTATTAATGCTAGCTTTAGCATCGTGTCTGGGGACATTCAAACTTGTAATTATTCTGTAATTCAGTTGCAACTTACATTATACAGAATCTGCCCACTGTAAATGATATGTGGCCCACTGGAATATTCTATTATTGCTAAAGCCAGCGTTTCTGTGTTGAGGACTTGAGCTTGTGCAGAACTCTTTCAGCTATCAAATACACAGTGTTCATAAACTGAATAAAACAGTGAGTATTTAGACCTTTGAATCTGGTGCTCTGAAAACACCGTGAAAGGAGTCTGGTCTTGTAACACAGAATCTAGTACTGCAATACAAAGAGTGGAGAGAATCAAGCAGTTAATATGCTCTTTTGTGATAAAACCTATCTGTTTTTCGATCCTGAAATTACTGGCAAAAAGACTGATGCAGTTACTCTTCAGGTCATTAAAGCAAACTCTCTTCCACCATTTTCTATGGAAGCAGTGGTTTTAGTGGCTGTAGAGCCTGTCAACAGAGTTGCCTTTGCTGGTCCCCATCTGGTTATGCTTTTGTGTTGAATCCCAGTGTGTTTCCATGTTCATCTGGTCTCTAGATGCATCACTCTACTAACTTCACGCTCTACTAAACTAATTCTCCCTTAAATTTCTAAGAAAACAAGTTGAGCAGTTGTAAAATTAAGGGCACTAAAACAGAATTTAAAATTTAAAGGAATTTAAATTAAAAGGAAGGGATAATTCCTTATCAGTAAGATGTCTTATGAAGTGTTTATTAAGTGGACAATTTCTGCTGGTAATGTATCGCATTTTGCAGATCATATGGGTTTTATGCTATATATACTTTTCTTTTTCCTTTCCTCCTTCAGGTTTTAACTGCTCAAGATCTTGTAGACTTTTCTCCAGTCTACAGGTGTCTGCACATCTACTCAGTTTTGGTATGTATTACAGTGACTTCAAAAGGATATTTTACTTTTTGAAGTTGAATGTTCATTTTCATATTTTTCATGCTCTGATAGTTCTCAAGCAAACATATTGTTTCTAGTAGTAGTAGTTCTCTTTAGTAGTAAGACCAGGTGAGATGGGTAGGATATGGATACGCAGGGCACAACTACAAATATATGTTTTATTTTAAATGCATAATAAAGAACACATAGCAAGACATTAATTACATAAGTGTTATTAAGGATATATGTTAAATATGCATGTCTGCCTCAATAGTGGTATCTGCACTTTTGCAGTTCCCCCAGGTGTTTTGTGTTACCCAGACATTTGAGGGAATGTGATCAGTATCACAAAACATAGGAATATTCTGTTTGAATCTTGTGGAAATTAGAATAGTAGAGCAAAATAGGAAGCGAAAACTGGAGATTGTGACAGACTGTGCTCAGGCAGATGAGATTGGATTCAGTGTCAGAGACACAACAGCCTGTTTTAGCTGCTTCATATTGAAGAAGCAAGCAGGATTTTGTATACCTCAGGATGCTACATAGCTTGTGATTGCAGCCTGGTGATTGCAAGATACGTATGTGCCAAACACAGATTGTACTTACTGACAAGTAACCTTTCCTCAGGCTAGAAGCTTGTGGGCAATATATATAAAGAGCTTTTTTTTAGTCCCATATATTATATGAGATGCTGTATATTTAAATTCTGCTGAAAACACCCTTGATCCCTTTGATGTGTAATGTTACTTTTAACTAAATGCCGTATAGCAGTATAAAATAAATGTAACTGTGGTGTGAAAAAACGCTTGATATATGAGCTGTATTCCTAGAATTTATAACCCATTGTGAAGTGATTTATTATTTCTGTTTATACAAACTCATGAACTTTTGGAAGCTGGGCAAAACACATGCATTGCTTAGGTATATTTTATCTTGCCTTTCCTCTGCTTACTGAGTGAATCATCAGGGTTGCTTCTCTAATCTGCTGATTGCATTAGGACATCTGTTTAAAATAGTTGTTATGCCAGAATTGCTGATCTTGATTGCATAGGGTAGCACAGTCTATAAATAATCATTAGATATTTTGCATCTCCATTTTTGGTGTGGATTTGAGAACAGCAGCTACTCTTTCACTTGAGAAGCTTGTGTCAGGACTGAGTAGAGATTTGGCGTTGGAAATAGAATTCAATAATGGCTTTGTGCATCTGGAAACTATTGAATATTTGGGCTGGAGGTGAAGGGTTAGTATGTCTGATCAGTGTGTGTTAGTACCAGTTACAGCACACTGTAAACTTCTGCTGCAACAGAAAGTGTTCTACTAAATGTGCATCTCAGTTTCAAGTGGGTTTTTGTTTTTAAGCCAAGTCTTTTTTTACTTTTAGAACTTGTTAGGTTAGCAGTATTTCTGAATGCAATAAACTTAAAATACTAAATTTAAACTTTCTTTGTTGTATGTTATAAAGGAGTTAGGTAAGTAATACTGACTTAGTAATATACAATGTCTGTAATAATTTTACTTGAAGAGTTTTAGAAGCCCAACTAATGGAATTCTAAATAGCACTGGCCTAATAATAGGCTCATGAGGTAAAAACAAACCTTAAAAATGCTAAGCTGCCTTATTCTGCTTGCATACAAATCATACTGTGTTCAGTAGGTAGATGAGTCAATGTAGCACTTATTTTGAATGGACAGATGGTTTCTACTGAAAGGTCATCTTAATTAGATGTGTAGAATGTCACTTGAATTCTTCATAATATAATCATTAGACAGAGGGTATTGTATTTTTGAGGACTGTGATAGGAGAAAAATCCAAATCCACAGTCATTATATTTACTAATTCCAAAGAGAATAAGCAAATATTAAGTAAATCTTATGTGTTCTTTTTTCTTAGGCAAAGCTAATGCAGGCAGTGTTCAGATGTATTCACAGAAACATTTTTGTAACAACTTTAAAATGTAGTTGTTTTCTTGAATACCGTAGAGAAACATTTTAGAAGACAATTAGATTTAGTTTTAGAGTAATAGGTGATATCCCTTGTCTACAAATGTTTATGTACTTTGAAAGCTGTAGTTTATAAATGTAAATGTTGCTTAAAATGCATTTTTTTTGTCAAAGTGTAGACACATAAGCACAATTTTTACAGTGTGTTTTAGGCTGCTTAAAAAAAAGAGAGAATTTCTGCATATTTCATGCGTGCAAAAATTTGCTCGTTTCAGCCAGAGATCTGCATGTGGAATAAATGCAAAATACGTGGCTTAGTTTAGGAGAATTCTACCCTTACTTTAAGAAGCGTCCTTTTCATACTGAGACAATATTCTTTTTTTTAACGACTTTTGTCACATTTTAGGGTGATGGAGAAATATTTGAAAATTACTACAGAAAACAAAGAAGGAAACAAGCAAGATTAGTTCTGCAGCCGCAGTCAAGCATGGTAACCAATGTTTTTGTTTCCGCATTGACTTGGGTTGTACCAAATACTTAGTGGTATTTTTATTCCTAAACTTGTTTTCTTCTTCACTGAAAGCATGAAACAGTAGAAGGCTATAGAAGATACTTCAGTCAAATTGTAGGGTAAGTTTTCTAAACAGAGATTTATTTCAGTTTTTACTGCATTGATTTGTAATTCACCCTCTGTTTTCACGTTGTCCAAAACCTTTCTTCTGCAAGGTTCAGTTTTGCAAAAATTATGCGGGTGGTTGTTGCTGGATCTGAGCAGGGAAGAGCATCCGCATCCTACCAGTGCGGTACCCTGCAAGGACCCTCCAAGCAGCCTGGGATCCAGCTGGCATGAAACAAATTTTTCACATTTTGACTTCATGCTGGGCAAAACAGAACACCAAACCCACCAAAGGGTCACTGCTTGAATGGGGAAGGGTTTGACTGTGCTTGCATGTGAAAGGGTAGAATTTGCTCTAATACTAGAAACCAACTTAATAATCTAAGTATTACTTTGTTTTAGCTTCTTTGTAGTAGAAGACCACATTTTACATGTAACCCAAGGATTGGTAACTAGAACATACACTGATGAACTCTGGAACATGGCCCTTTCCAAGATCATTGCTGTTCTTAGAACACATTCAGTAAGTGAGAAGTCTTACCAGTATTGTGGTTTAAATCCTCTTACTGCAGAGCTCTGTATATTTAAAGCTGGGATAGTAACAAAGTGGAAAAATTACACCCATCTCGTGTTTTCTTTTCCTTGTGATTAAAAATTGCTCAGATTTGGGAGGGAGCCTGCCAAGCTTTTGTTTTTCCCAACAGTATCAGGCTGTGATCCTCAGCCATGGGCTATTTGCATAATCCTCCACTGATTTACAACTCACTGGGTCTTCCAAACCTTCTCTTAGTCTAGCAGTTTAGAATATGCAGAGTTAATCTGCTGTTATTATTGCAATCCTTCCTCATTAGTCTCACTGACCTCTTCATTAGATCAGATTGAATAGTTCAGCACTGAAAGCACCACCAGGAAATAGTTCCTAATTATCATTCCAAATGCTGTGTTTCCAAAATAAACTCCACCAGCGAAACCCTTGGAGCTATCTCTTCAGTGCTGTAGTAGTAATAAGTTTATGTTGAAGGAAAGGTATTGGAAAAATCTTCACAGATGTTAGAATGTAATTCTGTATCAACTGAGTATTTCAATACATTCCAAGTGTGTCTTCCAAAGTTACATTTCTACCTTAGATCCAATGAGGCTAAATAGCTCGGTGCTATTTCTTATTCCTCTGTTAAAATCAGTGAAATACCGTTGTGCACTCAGACTAACAGTAAATCGCTTCGGAGTTTACTATTGGTACAACTTTAACTATTAGAAAAAAAGGGAAGAGTTTTCTTTTTCCCTTTTTAATGTTTGCTCGAAGCAGTTTCTTTTTGCAAGTTTATTCTTATTACAACTGATCTTTAATTTGAGGAATATTTTAAGTTTTGTATATACCGAGGAAAAATGGGCACAAAGTTCAGACTGCAACTATAGTTTTATCAGATGCCCTTTACTGGTCAGTGGTACATGAGTTGTTCTCATACTTTTTAATTTATTTTAGAGTATTGGGATAAATTGAGATATATTCATAATTCTTTAAATACTTTGAAGGTTAACTGGCTGCATACGGATTTATACACCTATGTAAGAATGTGGTAATCTAAGGAGTAAAAGTAATGTAATCTCTAAAGAACTCTTCAATGTCTTGTCATGTAGTTGATCACCAATTCTTTTCAAAACACATAATTCCCATCAAAACCAATTCTATCACAATCTCTTTCTAACGTCATCCTAGTACAGACTAATGTTTAGGTAAGTGTATGTTGTCTTATGGGGTATTGTGAACCAATCCCTTATATTTTTAGAAGTATGCTAAGAGCAAAAATTAAAGAAAAATGGGCATATGTTGTCTCTAACCAATACTGTATTCTCCTATAAATAATTTTTACTTTATCCAGTATTCCAAATAGTGAGGCTGAGGTGAATGCCTTAGTTGCATGACTCCAAATCTCTAAAAGTCAGATTTTAGTAATTTAGTAGAGTAAATTACTTAATGTCTTGACTTTTTACTATTGAATTTGAATTTATGTAGACAGTATTTTATAGCATTTTCCTCATACAGCTGGGAAACTGTCTGAGGTGGCACAGTTAGCACTAATTAGGCCCAGGCTTAGTGTTGAAAAGATTGTCCTCTGGAAGCCTCTCTGATGTTGATTTAGCAAAGTGTTTTGACATGTGCTTGTGTTCTACTGAAATAAATGTGATTTGCTGATTTTGAATCGCAGTACAACATACTGGTATTTGTTGAATCTCATATTTTAGTTTATTTTTCTTTGCTTTTATACTACTGATAGTTCACATAAAAGTTTAACAAATAATTTTATGTAGCTAAACTAAGTGAAGACTAGTGAGTCTAAGTCGGTTTTTACTAAGGCAGTCAGTCAGGTAAAGGGCTAAAGCTGGAGAGTTTAACGTTCTGTGCTAATATTCTTTCAAAACATATGTCCCATACTTTAAATCCTTTTAACAAAACCAGAATTTCTCACTTTCAGTCATATTGCAGTGATCCCGACCTTGTTCTGGAACTGAAGAATCTCATTGTAGTATTTGCTGATACTTTGCAGGTACATATTATGTTAGTAATTTAGCTGAAATTGCTAGAGTAAAATTTTTCCTTTAGATGAGTAAGTGTAATGATTTGGCTTTTCCTGAATCATGTATACAAATAAACAACAAAATTACACACAGTGATATTTCAAAAATACATGTATTTCTTGCCTTGGTTCCTCCTTTTTAGTAGTATCAATTTAGGGCATGCATCCTGGGCTATCCAACTAGCATGCAGTTATTAATATCTGTGCAAAATTAATGTTAGCTTTCTAGTTTGTGTATGTCTTTGTCTTTTTATAAATGCATTAATTCTGATCTTTAGTAAGAATAGCATTCCAGTTATCATTAACTCTCTAGCTTAAAGGTAACATCACTGGCAAGTATTCTTGCAATGTTTAACAGACGGGAAAAAGAGATTAGTTATATGCATAAATAGCAAGTTAAAATGTTGTAGAGAAATGGGACAAATTTCTGCTTAAAAACTGAAAGCACAGGATAAAGTATTTGATAAGAATTTAATATATAATCTTCTAATTGTAGTGGTATGTTTAAAGTACTATAATTTGTTTTATAGACGTGACAGGATTGAATAGTAAGTCTCATCTCAGAGTCCTGAAGTAATGTGATAGGAATTGAGTGTATTAGTTCTTGTATTATCCACCCTTTTCATTTTTACACCTTAGGGCTATGGTTTTCCTGTGAACCGACTATTTGATCTTTTGTTCGAGATAAGAGACCAGTACAATGAAACACTTCTTAAAAAGTGGTCTGGACTGTTCAGGTTAGTATTTCAAAATAATTGTGCCTTTTGTATTACATCTATTGTTTTTGTCTAACTTCAAGGTTTTTTGATAGAGTCGTAGTTCTGGAAGAATTGATTGACTCAGTATTGTCTATGAATTTCAAGTTGGATAGAACTAAGCTATTTATTACATGTAACTAATATTTAGGAGAAGAGCCATTGAGTACTACTTGTGCAGAAGTTAATGAAGAGAGGGAAGGTCTCCAAAGGGACATTATTAGAGAAACGTGCAGGCAAGAGATGTCTGGTTTTGTTCACTGGGAACCTAGTAACTCTAGGCTATTGCAATAGGGCATTAGGTTCCTAATTTAGGTTGTCTTAATGTTTACAGTTAACTGATGTGCGTATCTCCCTGATGGACTGCTGGCGTTACCAGTATGTCTTTGTGGTATTTTAATGCAGGTTGGTTTCCACCTATTCTTTGGAATCACTTGATTGAGTAAATCATAAACCTAAGAATACAGCAGCCTGGGACAGTACTCCAAAGCCTGTTTGCAGATAGGATGTGATGTCTAAATGTGCAGAAATTGTTTACCATAAAATACGTTACGTTGTAGTACAGAAACCCTTGAAATTAAATTGACTACTGAAGATTCTCAAGCTCTCTCTGCTCCTCGTATAGTCATTTAACCAGTAGAGAAGTCCAGAGGGTACTTAATGCTGTGGCCGTGTGCCTACCTGATGTTCTCTGCCTCATCCCTATTGACTGCATGCAGCTGTGGTATCTAAGTGAGACACTTGGAATATCTGCTTTAGTGTAGGCAAAATGTATAATAATATATGTAGGCAATAATTAATAACTATCTCATTATGGTTTACCCTAGAGTAGACTAGTTCATTTAAAGTTCCTTTGCTGTATTATGCTTTGAGACAGACATATAAAAATACTTTAAGCTATTTTTTTCTCTGTGATTAAACACAGTAAAAAGAGTTATCATATACAATGTACTTTGGAATTAATCTAAAAATAGTTTGGTTGTCTGAAGTTGTGATCATTGCAGCTCATAACTTTTTGAAGCTGCACACTTTAGTGTGGTAGTAAAATTTATAATCATTTACATCTTTTAATGCTGGAAAATACTGTAAATAAGTTATATATCCTAAACTTTTTTCACTTTACTAACTAATTCACCAGGGATATTTTTGAAGCAGACAACTACAGCCCTATTCCTGTAGCAAATGAAGAGGAATACAAAATAGTTATAAGCAAATTTCCTTTTCAAGATCCAGAACTTGATAAGGTAAGGAAGAGTTTTATGTTATTAAAGTTTGCTGAAATCCAATTAAGGACACTTGGGACAGTAATGGTCTTTATAATTAAAAAGCAATTAAAATTTGAAAAGCTAGGTAGATTAAGAGGCTAAATCACCTTCTTTGTGTGTAATTATCTAGCCATAAATAAATATGAAAATTAAAGCTTTAGTCATTTGCTCTGATCACAGAATCACAGAATATTAGGAGTTGGGTGAATAATGAAACCCATTGTTTTGTAAACAAATTAATATTACACTTTAATTGATACAGTCTTTATGTAATTATAATACAGTCTGTCCTTAATTAGTTAAATTTTGTTGCAATTCATTGGGTTTAGTTAGTTACAGTATTTTATATGCTGTAGTATTGCAAAAATAAGTGTAAAACAAGTCTGTTAGAGACAGCAAGTTTTGTATTTCACTTTGAAAATTAATTATTTTTGTTTTAGCATGTGGAGCAAAATAAATATGAAGAGACTGTAAATAATTCTGCTGTACTAGCACTCCAACAGGATATTCTTTCATAGCCTCACTCACGCTTTAACTACAAGCTCCTTTCACAGAAAGGTGATTTAATACGTTCTGCTCTTCAAATACGGTTTTGGTAATACTGATGAAGAAGTAACAGGCCCATGATGGAATCTGTAGAGGGGAACTGAAAATGAAGAACCACAGGACAGTGGGAGTGACATTGGAGGGAAACTGGTTTATGCACAGTCTATCACTACAGATATCTGCAAAAGTAAAAATGATGCTCTAATTCCGTGATTCAGCAGGGATTTACCAGGAAAATGTAACAGCTACGTGTCATTAATGCAGTATTGCAGTCAAAAATTAAAGGTGGGGTTTATGCTGATTTTTTTAATAAGACTCCAGAGTCGTTGCTGGATGCTTTCCCCCATCAAATTCATTTGTTTAGCCATTATAATACTAAAATAAGGTAGACAGAATGGAAGTCCCTTACAGTGTTGGAAGTATACCACACCCTGGATATTATTTAGCATGACATATTTTGCTGATACATTGCAGATATTTTTAGCTTGCACTAAATAATGTTATCTGCCATCCTCTCTCATTCTCTGTCCGATGTGGACGTGCATGTGTGGACGTTACCTGTGTAGGCACGTGTAGTCATATATATGCATGATTAATACTAAACTTTGACTCTTATTTTGCCAGAAGGGAAACGTATTCTCTGTATGTGACTGTTTTCATTTTTGTTTATGACACAGAGAGGGATTTGTATTTCATAGTGAGCAGCATTTTTTGGTATATGTTTAATGGACAGAATCTCACTGATGCTTGTTTTTTGGGCTTGAGAGTCAAGTTGGGAATCAGGTTGGATTCTGTTCCCAAGTCTATCACTGACCAGCTGTGTGGTGCTGGTAAATCACTTCACGTCTCTGTGTCTCTGTTAATTTGTATGTAAAGTGGGGATAATGTTATTTTTTCAAAGCTCTTTCCGGATATTTGTAACCTGTATGTAAAGCAGAAGGACATAGTTAGAAATAAGGCAGTCTTTTTATTTTTTCCCTTTTGTATCCCGGCAATTTTTGAAGCAGTTCTGTTGACTTCAACCAACTCATGAATGTCAGTGTGTCTCATTTTTAACTGTTTGTTAGGATGAATCACTCTCACATTTTACAGGTGAGTTTATCATAGGACTTGCTTGGAGCACATTAGGCAGAATTATGACCAGAACCTACTGGGTGTTTCACATAGCAAATCCCATCTGACTGGACAAAACAGTCTTGTCTGCACTCTGTAGTTCAGGTTGAATGTGCCAGACTGTCATGGTTTGATGATATCATCTAATTTTGCTCCCTTTCTGTATGCATAAGTGGAACAATTGGCTTGTATCTCTGTTTTGGTGGTGTTTCTTTTTTTTTCTTGCTGCCTACTATAATAAGCAGGCAGAGAGTGTTGTGTCCTCCTGTACTGGCCAGACAGGGTAGAGGGTGAAGAGTTGCGTCTCTTAGATTCTTGAGCATATGAATGTTGAGACTCGAGGCCTACTGGCAGAATACTGTACTGATCTGAAGTAGTTTTAGGTAATAGCACTGTTTTATCTGTAAAAATGAATTGTTTAAATCAGATGAACACACATATGATGTAAATTTTATTGTTAAAAATGTTTACTATTGCTGTTGAATGACAAGAATGACTGGCACTTTACACCACAATTTTTCACACCACCTAATCTTAAAGAGGTATAATTTGGAGAATGTCAAGGTAATCTGTTTTGTCTTTTTTTCTTTAATGTACAAATGTTGAGCTGCCTTGATTAATTGTTAATTAGTGCTTTAGTTTTAGAAACTGAATTCTCCAGGGATGATACCAGTAGTTACTTATTTTTCTCATGCACTAGTCACAGAGTAAGCAGAAAACGAATTGTTTTCAGATTTCAGGAATGATGTATTCAATGCAGAAATATCTATTTGGTATGTGTGGATTTAATTGAATGTATTTCTCTTGTATTTCTTTCCCAAATACAGTATCAGCTTTCAAATTGAAGTAAGAAGCGTGATTTTATTCTTACAGACTACTAGTATTTCCCACATGTTAATCCAAATTGTTGAAATTAATTCAAACTGGTTTAAGTTTTGTAAGCCATTGAGAGAAAGTAAATATATGATAAAAATTATACATGCCTAAACATAGTCAAGATACTTTGAAAATTCCAGATGTATTAAACATCTCAAACTTTTTTTTTTCCCATTGCTTTTTCTGGCAAAAAATGTTTATGTTTTTGAGCTTCTCATCCCACTTACATCTGTCTTGTTCATTCAGATTAAAAGTGGTTTGAGATGTGTTTTTTAATGTGTGTTTGTAAATTGCTTCCTACAGAGGGATCGTAAATTACATAAAGTCTCCAAACTTTATTGTAATTTAACTAAATGATAAATTTTTATTTTCTTTATAAGATACTTGAAAAGATGTAGAAGGTAGCCCAACACCTACCACTGTTTATATTCTATGAAAAACAGAAAAGCTAAAGATTGTTAGTATTAAGTGGCTTTCTAATCATTACAAGCTCTTCTTAGAATCACTTTCAAGTTTAAGATAATACTATCTTTTATTTTCACAGCAATCTTTTCCAAAGAAACTTCCAATGTCTCAGTCAGTGCCTCAGATTTATATCCAAGTTAAGGAATTTATTTATGCAAGCCTTAAGTTTTCTGAGTCACTTCACCGCAGGTAAGCTTGAAGTATCAGGAATGTGACTATAAGGTATCCTGTAACTGCCAGGTGACCTAAAAATGTATGTTAAATTGAAAATGTATTTTCTTGTGTACTTGCTAGCTGTGCTTGTTTCATAATTTACATGTAATTACATGTATAATTATTTATATTGAATATATTCTTTCCAATGCTATAGCATATATTTGGTATGTGTCTGTGTATATAGTATACAATATGTGTGTGTCTGTATGGGTGAAGGTAGCTTAGCATGGTAAGCAGTCTAAAACACTGCTGGGGTTTTTTAAACAGTATTGACTGGTTTGAATAATCTAGAGGGTTTTTTAATTTAACAAAGCATGTAAGATTTGAAAAATATGCTTTGGTACTGACCATTTCAGAAATAATTGTGTAGCATTCCTGATTACTTTGAATGGTTTTTCCCTTCTCAACGCTTTGAGTTTCCTTAGCAATGGTTTCTCCTGCAACAAAGCGTGCTGCCTGCATGCTCGTTCCCTCTTCCATCCCACCTTTTTCTAATGGAAAACATCACAATTCTATTTCCTTTCCTTTTGTGGCCTTCCAAAGCTTAGTTTTAATTACATAAAATAACATTCATAGATCTGAAATCTGGAAGGTGTTTGTGGTTGGTCACCCACTTCTGCACTGTTAAAGATGTAAATTACTCGCTTTCACACATTCTTAATTGATACTGTTTATAATTTACACGTACTAATGAGAGCATGTTGACCTCCTCAGTAACTCATTAAAAGCCACAAATTACTCTTTCCGAACTGCTGTGTGATAAAATCTTAAAAAAAAAAGGTTTGCTTCAATGTTGAAATTCAGTTAACGGATAACTTGGTAAATGGAAGAAGTGTTCTGTGTGTTAGAACACGGAAGACTGGGAGCAACCAGAAATAAAATGCACATGGGAAATTCTTAACATGGAAAGTTCCCCTTGGGGGGGGTGGGGAATAAAAATACTAAGTAATACTGTCAAAAGTATTGTAATGTACAGCATAGTTATAAAAATAAACCTTTTTTTTTCCAGCTCAACAGAAATAGATGATATGCTCAGAAAAGCTACGAATTTGCTGCTTACAAGAACTCTAAGTAGTTGTTTACAGAACCTAATTAAAAAACCTCATATAGGTTTAACCGAGGTAAGTTTTGAAACACATTCTCAAAACTTGTTTTTTAAAGACAGTTAGTGCTAAAACCATTCTTGTAAATGTAGCCATACCAAGGTATTAAGAGTTGTGTAAGAAAAAGAAGTAGTGTTTGCTTTAAAATGGAAAATTTAAAGAGGTGAGAGATGAAGTACTGTCCTAGTTTTGCTGGGACTGAATCACAGAATTCAATTTTCTGTTCAGCATAAAAAAATCTGTATCTGTTACATAAATGACAACAATACAGTGCTGGGTCTAGTTGGAAGTATATTTACACACAGATGCCTTTTCAGAGAGAGAAGACAGATTTTCATCTCCTCTATGATAAACAGATTTGCAAGGAATAAGCCAAAGACTCTTACTACTCTGGTTGCATAGAGGGCATGGTTCGTGTGTTCTGCTCCTCTCTAGTAATTAGTAGCATGTTTTTGAGTTTCTTTTTCTTCCTATTTAAAAAAAAGGGAGGTGTATGAAAATCTCTCTCATATGAACTGTGTCGTTTCAGAGTAAACCTACCAGATCAAGAAATCTAAACTCTCAACTTCACTCTAACACATGAAACTTTTTCTATAGTAATTGCAATTAAAATATTTTAGTAGGTTTGTGCATGTTGTTTCTTCATTAGGACTCTTGGTTTAATCTATATATTGGACAGAACAAGACAGGATGAGACAGTGAATCACTCTGAACATTCATTGCAGGTACACGCAGTGTCGGGAGACGGCAGGCACCTACTGAAACATGCTGACAAGGACTTAGATTGTTGCTGTTAGAGCAGTGTTAGTTCATACTGAATGTTGTTTTAAAACTGCAAGAACCTTCATTGTGTAGGTGAAATCAAGAAGAAGAGGAGAGAGCTCTATAAATCATATATTGCCATGTTAGTAAGACAAGCCATGCAATTTTTCTGAGATGTAGTTTTCTATGTTTTTTAAATTGGTACAGAAATATTTTCAAGGATATGAAAATAAATTCACTAGTATTTTTTGAGGTGTTTCATTATAAAGTCAATATGTTTTATGAGAAAAATGTTTAAAAGAGAAAACTGATTTAACCAAGCATTACATTAGTGTTCACTAACACAGACAGTATGCACTGAGAATTACAATATACTGGTATTTCAGTTACTATGCATTACGTGTGTTGTCTGATTTGCAAATTGGATGTGAAAGTTGAATTTATAAGCAGGTCATGCTTATAAAAACATTTATAAGATGTACAAGCAGATTTGTTACCATTGTTGGGGGAGAAGGAGTTGACCACCTTATTTTTCAGTTTCCCTAACTTCAGAATGCATCATTCTGCAGACAGTATTGTGAAATATTTTTAATACCATTAATTTCTTAAAATATTTTTATTGTACAAATTAGTGATTTGCTTTTGGTAATACATTTTCCTTTCTTTACCCTTTGTTAATTCTAAAGTATCAGTTGGACTTATTTCACGGTAGGAGTCTGCAGTCTTCATTTTGAATGACAATGGATGATACGAAAAGGATTTTTACAAGATTTTTTGGTCTCTTGTAGCTTGTTCAAATCATCATAAACACAACACACCTGGAACAAGCCTGTAAATACCTTGAGGATTTTATATCTAACATTACAAATATTTCACAAGTGACTGTTCACACTGCAAGACTTTATGGACTTTCTACCTTTAAGGTATGGTACCTGTCATCCGTTATATGACCATGTGTGAAAAGTTACGTTAAAATCGCTATAAATGTTACATTAAAATCACTATAAATGAAGCATTTTAAAACAAGAGGGTGAGGGCAAAGCTACACGCTTTCTCATTTTTTACTCTAAAACAGTTCTGAACTGTTAAGAATTCAGTTGTAGCACTGAGCAGATAAACACTTTTTTATGTTATCAGTATGATATGAAATATGTCAGTACATGAGAAGCATCAATATTCTCTTTCAGATGCATCTTTTATTAAGCTGGGAAATGACAATCTAAGCTTAACTGCACCAGAAGCTTTCAATCGATTAAGCTCCTATTTGTGTAATATCTCCCCTTTCTGAATGGAATCAAGCAAAACAGCTAGCTTAACCTACAATGTTTGTATCACTTATTTGTTTTTATTCTGAAATATTTTAAAATTGTGCAATTCAGTAATATAAAAGCAGTATTAAGAATGTGCTACAAAGCATAAATTACTCAATTATCTTTTTAGAACTAATATGTTATTTACATGGCTTTTATATAGACAATAATACTGAAAACAATTACTGGGAACTTGACTGTTTCTGATGCATGCCAACTGCTTATCTGCACAAGCTGTATTTTCTCTGACTTTTTTCAGGAATGGCAGAAGTACTTAAGCTTGTATCTCAAAAAATTAAAGTGAATCATAGGTGATGCATATCAGCAGAGACAATTGTCATCTCAACAGTTAGCATGGCAACATTTGTAAGCCAAGTATAAAATAACCCTAAAATAAAAAATGCTGTAGTTTTCTTTCTATATATGGCTCCTTATCTCATTAGTAGGTGAAGTTCTCCTAGTTATTCTTTCATCTGTCAATTTCTGAAGGATTTTGAGCAGTGGAAACTAAAGCAGAAACACAAAATGACTTGTACAGTCACATTGGATGTCCTTGACAGAGCAAAAACGTACAGAAAGGTTCTGGCCTAGCAACTGTGGTTAGGTTACCACTGCCCTACCAGAAGTTTTATGAATTTTGCCATGTCCCTGGTATCTAGGCTTTCTAGTTTGCTTGTTACGTACCGATAGTGCAAGTGTGTCTTTGAATTTGGATATCTGTAGATATCTTTGTGTAAGGTCAATCTCTAATATTTTTAACATTGAAACAAAACACTTAATGCAGCCGTGGTCTTTGATTTCATTAAGAGGCATGGTGTTCTTTATCCTTGAATTTCATTTAATAAATGGAGTTGAAAGTTTACATTACATTTTGTGTTGACTGCTTATGCTGTAAGTTATGTTTAACTATCTTATAAACTACCTATATTACATTGGAGGGAACAATGGAATATTCTGTGTTTGGTGAGCTTAGTATCTATGCGCTTTGGAAAATTACAGATTAAGTGCTGACAAATGTAAGAATATTGGAGTTTTTTAATGTTTTCTCTCTTGTCTCTTTTCCTGGGGAACTTGTTAGCACAACATTCTCCACTTATAGTAGAAATTCTTTTCTTATTAATCCCCTCTTCTTTTCTTTTTTTTTTTGTTATTTATTTTCTTTTTTTCTTCCCCCCCCTCCCCAATTTTAATGAAAATCTGCTTGCAGTTCCCCAACTGGGCCCTCACAGAGTTTGGTATGTTCTACTGTTATTAAATTTATCTCCTGGTGGTAAATCATGTCACCTCCATTCTTTCTGAGTGGTCCAAAATCTCCTTTTATTAGCAGCACTGGTCACGTTTATATTCCATGAGATTATCTTACGAGTACATCTACACTGTATTTTTTTGATAGAAGCCTTCAGACTTATTTCATGGCTACTATTTTAAAGGGCCATTTTTCTCATTTTTGTATATATATGTTGCCCAGTGGAGGCCTTTACAAGTTGGTTTGGCAGTAAAAATGCTATTTTTAGGGAATTGTCCTGTGATATTTATGCATGGCAAGGCCACATGCTCCCTTGCTTTCTCCTGAAGTGCCTCGCAGCCTGGGACCCGACTGAAGACTGAATTTGACACACTCAATGTGATGCCACCTTTAAGCTCAGATAATTTGGGGTCTTTTTCATTTCATTCTTATTTAGACCTTTCTGAATTGCCATGGTTTTGGACTGCTTTCTCCCAGAAAAAACTCAATGGGAATTTCATCCACTTCTATGTTACTCCAGTATATCCAGCCTACTTTTGCTCTCTAAAAGCCTTCAGCAACTGAGAAGTTCACTTTAAATCCAATGTCTGTCTTGAATTATTTCTCAAGATCAGTGAAGAAAGTTTCATCTTGAGCCCAAATTAGAACATAGAATTTATTAAGTATCTTTAAACCCCAGGCTAGCGAAAGCATGCCTTTCCAGCAGGATATACCTTATCAAACATCTGCACATGGATCCCATTGCAGCTATGAGGATGTCCCCTAAACAAATAAGGCAGATAGCATCATAAACTCACTTCACAGTAAATGCTAGTCTTTACCTCTGTACTGTCTCGAAAAGTAGAATCCAAGTGGTGGCTTCTCCCAGCTGCCTATGGAATATTTTGTCTATGTCTTCGTCCTGGTTAGGTGGTCTATAACAACCTCCCACCATGATATCTGACTTGTTGGCCTTCCCCGTGATTCTCACCCATAGGCACTCAACCCTGTTGTCACTGTGGCTAATCTCTAGGCAGTCGTAGCCTTCCCTAGCATACACGTTACATACAATATTGCTTTAAATGAAATATTTTTTGAATCTAAGAAAAATACAAGACTTCAGTTTCGTTGATGGATATAATTTTATCTGCATTCTAATAATATTTTAGAAATCTAACAATTGCACATGACTTTTTTACAGGATGCAAGGCATGCTGCAGAAGGAGAAATATATACAAAACTTAATCAAAAAATAGATGAATTTATTCAGATTGCTGATTATGATTGGACAATGTCTGAATCAGATGGAAGAGCCAGTGGATATTTAATGGACCTTATTAACTTTTTAAGAAGCACATTTCAAGTTTTCACTCATTTACCTGTAAGTGTTCAAAATTAAGTTTAATTTCAAACTCTTTGGGCAAAATTTCATTGTAAAATAGTAGGATTTTGAAGATAGATGTGATTTTTGAACTGTGCATATGCTGACAGATGTGTTTTCAGATGTGTCAGTATGTTGACGATGCTTACCTGTGGTAATACTTTCAAAATATTTTCAAATGCTTTAGCAATATTATTAACAACAGCTAATTTACAAACAATTTAAGAACTCATGCAGTATTCTAGAGCATCAGACAGTCTTTTTTAAATTAACAACATTGGTTCTGTGTACACATGCACTGATTCAAACGGTGCAGAATTGGTGTAAATCCTGTATTTGTGCATAAGATTATTGAGGCCTTGGATTCTCCAAGGTTGTTTTTAGCTAAATAGTTTTCATCATAGGAAGTCATTGGATTCTAGTTAACTGAGCTGCATTGAAATGAATCCTTGTTCATACGCAAATACATCCTGTGTTATTTTGTCCTGGGTAGAAGGGTACTGTGAACCTGTTTTATGTACTAACTGTTATATTCCGTTGTCTCATTTCCCCTTGTTTTAGAACAAACAAAAAAGACTATTTCTAGTTTGATAGACGTCATAATAGTTTCTAGCTTTATAGGCCTGGAGTAACTTCAATAAGTCTTTCATGCTACACCTGCTTTTCATCAGCTTGTCCTCGGTTGCTGCTGTCACACTGATGTCTGAGCACTTTACCTACACACAATGCCTGTAATGGATAAGTCCTCGATGCATAGAATGTTTTTAGGCTGCAGACTGGAAGTAAAAGATAATTTCTTTACATGCACAGCAAGGTGTTGAAGTTGCTGGTATAGTGGGCTTATCTAGTCTTCCAAATCACGTGTGAAGAGGCTGTGATTCTTCAGTCTCTTTTTTCTTTTACTGACTCAAAAGACGTAACCCACTGAAGATATATCACGGAATATTGATGTGAATTTGACGTGTGAGATGTGTGCTTCTGTCCCAGATCAGTTGAGCATGTTTTGATAAAGAATGGCAAGTTTGTTAGATAGTTAAATTTATCGTAACCTAACTTACAAAGCAGTATGAACAAATAGCACTGCTCCTCAAAGGTCATAGGCATATAGAAGTTAAGGGATGTGCAATTTCTAGAGAAGGATAGCCAGAAGTCTCTCAGGAATGTATGTTGTGATACGGCTGTTTGGAAATGAGCCACAGAGAGAACAAAGTAAATATGTTAAGAGGAATGGAAAGAAGCAGCAGTGGCATTAGGAATTGAAAACTGTGAAAGGAATAGCAATATGTGCTTGGGGGCACACGTCAACCTTTGGAGAAAGCTAGTTCCTACGTAGAGGTTATTTGGTAATGTCAAACTCTGGTCAGGTAACAGACAGGATGTAGAACTACGTGGATGACCAGTCTGGTCTGGCAAGAGGGTTCTTGTAATTTTTCACTTATCCTGTGTATCGCTGCCGTTTCTGGCTTGGCCAACTGTAGAAACATACAGTCCTGTGAATGTTGTTGTCCATGAACTTTGGAGGTTATATGAAAACATGTATACAGTTTCATTGTGATGATTATGGTTAGATTTGTGATAGTAAGTTATTTTCATTAAGAAAACGTGTATAGTAAAAACATTTTCAAAGGTAAGCCCAGAACTAGGTTTCCTAACTCACTAAAATAGCAAGTGCTTTGGAGTGCTAATCTAAGCTAGATTCTCATATGCCATAGTTAAGATTTACAATAGTTTTACTATTCATTTTCATTAATGGATTGTTCCATTCATGTCACAGTGTCATTTCCATCATAATTTTTGCATGGCTGGCAGAAACATTCCACTGCTCAAAATAGTTTCTTAGAACCTTTTCTGTAATTAGAAATCAAAGAACAGAAGTCCCAACCACTGTCTGTAATTCTAGTAAGGAGAAGAGCAGGACAAGTAGAGAAATCTCTCCTTGCCCTTAGCATATCCGATCACGTTAGAGGGCATTGTGCTAGGGTAGGGGCACCAGTTGGCCACACTCCTTCTCCATGGTCTCGTTCAAGGGTCACTGACTTTCTCTTTGATATTGTTTCAAACTCTGGTCATCCTGTAGAAGTGATAAGTTATATTCTTTAACAATTTCTTGTCACAGTTTTTGAGTTCCTGTCATTAGAGTCTTGTTTTGTTTTAGCTGTATGTGTGAGCTGTGTAAAGGCACAGGGCATTTCTCCTTTTGTGCTTCCATGTGGGGCTATACCGAATTATTTCTGTACCGATGTATTTGTAACTTTTAAAAAATACTTCATATGTTATGTATCTGTTTTATGCAATTTGTAATATTTTTATTGGGACATTAGACATCTAAATCAGGTAGACTGCGGTCTCAGTTTTACTGAACCGGCACGCTTTGTGGCAAAACTTAGTAGGTGTCTGATATCTTTATTGAGCCACTGGAAATGTGTTGCATCTCTGAAGCCTTTATTTCTCCTCTTAAATTTTACATCATAGTGTTCTCCTTTGTGTTTGTTTACTGTGCTTAAGCAGTTTTGGAAAAGAAAACAGGTTTATTCCACCCTGCAGTTATATTACCATCAGATTTATGTTAAAATTTAGTAATGGGTAGTGTTACATGTAGATTCTTGCTGTCCTCAGCTATTCTACGTCTTGCTTGAACAAAGCATGTTAATGACTTACAGATAGCCTCTGTAAGCCAAGATGGTAAATATGGCATTTATGTTTTTAACCTATGTATTTTGGAATATATTATTTCTTATGAAAGCTTTCTGGAAAGGCATATCAACAGACACTTTATCATCCGAAGTTTGCTGCTGTGATATTTTAGCACACAGTTCCTTATTACAGAAAAGCATTTTATTGCTGAATTAGTATTATTTAAATAATAATCTCGTTGTTATGCCTCAACAAAATATTATATAAGTTCACAGGTTAAGAAAAAATTAAGGAATTATGTAGCTGTAATTGTTCTTTTTGGAAGCTTATCCTTACCTTTTATTGCTACCAATTTTTTATTCTTTTTTTTTGATGTTGACAGTACATCTTAATTTTTTTGTTTTGATTGCCTTACTGGTTTCCTTCTCAGAATAACAACAATGACCATGCAGCTATGTCGGTAAGTAGATGCAAGATGAAGAAAAAGCATGTGAACTGAAAAACTATGAACTGCCTGCAGGCTTATTGCTTCAATATTTAGTCATTTAATAAAAAGATCTTTCTGTTTTGCTGATGACTTGCTGCATACCTTGTGTGGTTGCATGCAGGGATCAAGTTAATGACTAACATTGGGCTTTTGTACACTGGGACAGCAGAAGCCCTAAAAACCTTGCAGAAGGTTGGTGGGGTGTGCCTTGCATCCCAAATGAGGTAATTTAGAGAAGACTATGAGACCTTTTGGAAGAGAGGTCAGGTATCAAAATGCAGCTATGAGACATGCACTCAGAATAAGGGTAGAGTGATCGAGTGAAGAATCAGTGAAAGTTCCATCATTTCTCTGCTACATCTGCCTGGAGTAAAAAAAAAAAAAGATGGATTGCGTTTAAGAATTATTCCAAGCCCTGATCATTTTCAGGTCATACATTTTTGTATAAGGATTTTATTTTTATTTGGCATAAGCACTTCCATGGTAATGAAAATGTTGAAATCAATATTGTGATGTTAAGAGTGGCTTCTGAATACTGAATTTCTCAGCTTACTTCTACTAATTTTCTCTAATAATGTTGTCTAATCTTAAACAGCACACAGCGACAGATGTACATTGTGTTGTTCATTATTTAAGTGAACAAACGGCTAAGACACGGTGTGGGAATAACCCCGTTCATTGCTAAAGCCTGGGAAGCAACTGGCTGAGTAGTAGCTCTGTGGATCTGGAGAGAGGATCTAGCAGTGGGCTTACGAGTTGTTAGGAGCCCACAGCATTTACTAACAAATGGAGGTTTAGGGAGGTGGATTACTTAGGTCTAGAGAAGTCTGGGAAGAGATCTACTGGCAGCCTACAACGTCTTGAAGGCCAGAAACAAAGGTGATGGAGCCAAACTCTTCTTGGTAGGGCTGACAAATTCACAAGTGGCTATGGTCACAAGTAGAAGCTTGGGAGATGAAGCTTTGACATTAGGGAGCAGGTTGCATGAAGAGACTAGTGCAGTGTTGGAGGAGGTTACTCAGAGAGGCTGTTGAATTCCCATCCTTGGTTGTTTTGAAGGCTCAGCTAGAAAAAGGTCAACAGACCTGAACTAGTGTTGGCAGTAGTCCTACTCCAAGAGGAAAGCTGAACTAGATGGCATTGGTGGTTCATTCCAATGAACACTTCTGCTATTTGAATACTCGGCCTCATGTTGAACTGTCAAGCTAATAGGTGTCATGAGCACTAGAAATATTGAATGTTTTGTGTAGAAATATTTCCTCTAATGATGAATAGGTGTCAGTGTGCTGCTTACGTCATGACCAAGCACTAGCAGAATTTCGGAGATGCAGAGCACAGAGGCTGCATTGCTTTTGAAAGGTTATAATTTGAGAGTCATGCGGTTTTTAATGGTTCTGTTTTCTAAAGTCACTGGAATTTAGTCTTTTGAGATTATTGCTATTTTCAGGTTCTTTTACATCCCATTTTAAGATCATATTGTAGTTTATAGTGCCATTCAATACTTTGAATCAAAAAGCAGATTAAAAGTTCATTATACAGCCATTAATCTAATGAAATCAGTTGGATGATCAAATTTGTTACTAAGGACCTGCATTATTGCATTTTTGTTTTGAACAGTTAAAGAAAAATTATACTTTTCTTTTCAGATCAGTTAATTTGAAATTATAGAGGATGTATATATGTGTTTTTAATATAAGTTTAGAATTAGCTAAAGTTTTACGCTATGTGCTCTGTCAGTACAAAGTCAGCGTTGGACAACTCTTTGGAAAAGAATGACTATTGAAAAGTAACAATTACAAATTACTTTCAAGTAGGTATTTTCTATTATTTCAGTAGAATTTAGGGCAGAGACTGGAAGTAAAATTGATTCTTAAGTTCCATTACTGTTTTTTAGTATACTTGTATTTTATCAATAGTTCAAAAGCTGGCTTTTAGTTCTGATGTTTTGTAATGCTTTAGTTATCATGACTGATAGAATCTGTGTGTTTAGTTTCTTTGCATTCTCAGAAAGTTTTTCATTATATCATTTCATATTGTTAAATTAACTCTTCAGCTTAACTTCTTAGATTTAACAGATACGTTTTGTTACTTCCTTTTATGCTGAGGGTGGCAGTTTGTGTTATTTTATTGTTTCTGTGATTGGCAGCAAAAGCCTGATTTCACAGCTTGCAGTGAGGGTGAAGGGGTGGTGGTTTTCTGCAGCTATATTCAAAAACTGTCAGTCAACAGCCTCCACAGGCTACTCAGAGAATGGGTTTTCGTACCGGTTTCTCCAAATGCCGCTTCATGCTGCCTTTGATTGGCACGGCCTGGCAGGGAGGATGGATGGATCTGTCACTGGCCAGTTAATTGTGTTGCCGGTCTCAGCCTGACATCAGGGCTTTGAGTCCTAAGTGGCTCAATACAAAACAAATTAGCAGATTGTAGTCATATTTCTCATTCTATATGCTTTGACTATGTTGAATGCAGTCCATAAATCATATTGACTGACACCATAGTGAATGATGAAGGCTGCTTTTGAGACAGCTAGCATGGGTCTTAGCGGTACCGCGAAGGTGCTGTGGAAGGATGCATATGGTTGACCCTTTGGGAATTTCCTAGGAGCCAAATGTCTCTTTACTGCAATTGTTCTTAGGAGAAAAGCTTTTGGATCCTATAAAAAAAGGATTTAATATGTCAGCAGATTCTCTTTACAAGCTCCTTTGAAATATAAGAAGTTTGTCTAAGGGTTTTCTCTTTTTACAAACTTGTATTTCAGCAAAATGTGAAGGCTGGGTGAAAAAACCACTGCCTTTAATGCTGTTAGCAGGTGTTTTTGCTTATAGAATAGGGTCCTTGTTTCTTAAACTTTACATTGGTTGAGTGGAAGAATAGGGTTTGTAGATAGCAATTAGCATAGGCACAGCAGAGATAATAGTGGTGCCTTCAAATGAGAGGCAACTGGAGCAAATGTGAGAAGCCAGCTGAATCTGCATGCTATTGAATATAGGTTTTTAATTGCTAGATACAGTAACCACGGCCACTCTCCCTTAAAAGAAAAGTAATTAAAAGAACCCAAACTGACAAATAATACGCATTAGGAGTGTTTTAAAACTAGCTGAGATTTCTTTAATTCTGAAAAAGAGAAGTGTTATTGTTATTTTCACAAATGCTTAACTTTCCTCTTCAAAATGCATTAAGAAGATATGACTAGAAATTGAATAATTGGTGGATGGTGGAAATTTGGAGAGAGATTTTTAACTAGGTGTCGTTTGTCAAACATTAATTTCAGTTTCATTCTTTTCTGAATATCACACATCCAGTGTGTTTTGAACTGGGAAGCACTGAATTCTGAAGAGGATAACAGTAAAGTTCACATTTATCTCTGTTAAAATTCAGCATTTTGATTTATATGTGTAGCTTCATTTTTTTCCTCTGGATTTAAGAAAATCAATTGTATTGAGATAAGTATAAACTGTGTACTGTAAACTTCTCTTATTTGTTAATATATCATGTGAACAATAAGCCTGTAGTTCAAGTTACATAGTTGGAAATAAATGTTAGGATGATACCATTTATGAAATTTTAAAATAAATATTAATCATACATGTATTGATAACTATTTAAAGTCCAGGTGGCTTTTACCATGTCATTTCTGTATTGTAACCATTATCTTGTGCTCCAGTACTATTGATATTTGCCAGATTGTAACAATTAACTACAGGTGCTTGTTAGAAATATAGAACTCTGTCTTTTATTTAAAATAATGGAGGAGTACACATTGTTTGCATATAAAATAAATGGAATGTTAAAATTTTTCTTGACAACCTATTAATCTGGTTGCACTTTTATTACATTATAGTGGCAGCATAAATAGGACATGGAGCTGATTTGATGGAGCAGTACATTAAACAGAGATGCACTAGTTGTTCCATTAAATCAAAATGACATTTCCATTAAGTATTTCAAACCTAGTACACTGTAATTAAATGAACTGTGGCCCGTTGATTCCCCTCTCACCTCCATTCTTTCCTTTTCTTTTTCCCTTTTTCCCCCCCCCTTTTTCCCATTCATATTGATGTTGTTCTGCTTGGGGAATAAAGCTGCATGTCTCCCAGTGTAATTACCATTGGGTTTGGGAGACTTTTAAGCATGCTGTTCTTGCATTGTTTCTTACATTCCTTGTTGTCAGTTCATCTATTTTGGTCAAAAATGTTACTTGCTTTTCTGAGATTTTCAATTTAGAAACTGACATCTCATTTTAGATATAAAGCTCCCAACAGTTCAAGGTGTCCTAAAGCTAAAGAGGTATTAGCAAAAGCCATTTGATTTTTCAGTGTGGCATGTGAGGAGAGCGAACGCTTTCCATTGTATATTGTCTAAATTTAATTACGTTTAACAAAGAAGGGATTTTTAAAGCACGGAATATTTAGGACCAAATTTGCTTTCCGTTATAAGTTTACATGAAAATTCAGTGATACGAGCAAGTTGTCTTATTAAGGACAAGATGCTAGAGCAGAACTTTCCAAAGGTTTTGGGACAGTGAGCCGCTGTCTATCCTCATCATCTGTCATTGCTCATACGTGTTTCTGTGAGTCAGCAGTGAATCGGTCAACCTGACTTCTCGGAAAACACCCGGGGAACCATTGGTTTAGAAAATAGTTGTTATCATTTTACTGGTGGCTATAAGTAAAATGATAGTGGTGTGTGCTCCAGTAGGTGTATTACCTCATTATGATTTCTTTTGTGTAAGTGTGTTAGTAGTTGCCTGCGTTTCAATACGTATTGTAACATAGACGTTAGTTGAAAAGCATGCTTTAGTAAGTACATCAAACTACAGAGATTCATACACTTGCATTTCAAATTCAAGATCACGCTGCTCTTAAAGATTGCTGTGATTAGAATGGTGCCATCTGAGCGGGTATCTGATCTTGATTCGTTTTCTGAATTCTAAGGTAGACTTTCCATATCTTTCGATTTTTCTGTGCTAAATTTTAGCAGTTTGTCAAATTAATGTCTGATTTTGTGCTTCGCTTTTTGGTCTCATGTTTGGAATTTTTTTTTTACTTAATTACATATGCATCATAAAGAGAAATGTTGCTAACTAGACTGTGATTGGAAAATTATTTTTATTTTGTACAGCAGAGGGCTGCATTTCATTTTGTAAGTAGTTGATTACTGACAGCGCTGATTTATTAAGCACCTGAAAAGACGATAGATAAGAATGAATATTTTAAATAATTTAGCAACAAGATTTGAGATGGAATTCAAGTAATTAAAGTGCCAATAATTAGCACAAGCTTCATGAGAAATGCCTGAACTTGAAAGCAATGCTCTTGGTTTATATAAAATTGGGGAATTTTTTACTGACTATCGTTAAAAATATGCAATGTGTTGATTTTCATTACATTCTTGCTTTCATTCAGTTGGGGGCGGGGGGTCGGGGAGAAATAGTCCACAGAGCTGTTTGTGTGCTTCAGCAACTTCTACTGCTATTATTTTGGAAATGTCCATTTATTGGTGAAGACTGTTTGATTTCCAGAATAAATATCAACAATTGCTATATATTTAATTTAGTTCACTGATTGATTTAATAGAAAAAAAATCTAACAGGTCAAAGAAATAACAGCGCGTGACCTTTTGCTTCTAATCTAAGTCCTGCATCATTAAGTCTTCAAGTGTATATTAAAATCAAACCAGATAAGCAGTTCTTTGGTGATATATAATTTGTTTCTATCTTAAAACCTGTTGCTCTTTCTACTAGGGAAAAGTGGCCCAGACAGCTTGCATGTCAGCCTGCCAGCATCTTTCAACATCCCTAATGCAGATGCTACTGGACAGTGAATTAAAGCAGATAAGCATGGGAGCAATTCAGCAGTTTAATTTAGATGTGATACAGTGTGAATGTAAGTAGATGTCCCAGAATTCCTGCCTATATCTGTCTTAACACTGCAAAAAAGTTCCTTAATGTAAGCCATGGAGTGGTTCTTTTTCTTATCTACTAAAGCTTTGTCTTTAAAAACAAAAATTATTACAGTACAGCTTCTTATAAAAGTGTGAGTATGTTAACATTTCTGGGAAATTTTTTAATGAAACGGTTTTTTTAACTCAAGTATCTGATTGAAACATACATCTGTTTTTACTCCTAGTAGGATCATAATTACTATATCTGGTAAAAAGACTATAGTCTAGTACAAATTTGCCCCAAACCACTATATAAATACCATGCTTTTATAACTGATAAAAAAGTCAAATGTCTATGAAATTTTAGCTTTCCTTCTCGAGTTTATTTATTATCATGCAATTTTAAAATGTGCTGTTACATAGGGTTTTCTCCCTCCTAGAACTACTACTGCCTTACTCGCTGTGCAGTACAGTAGTACTAATTTAGTAAAGATCTGATGTTAGTTTAGTCTCACTATTCAAAATACAGCATCAGAATTGTTTTATAAAACTGGTTCGATCCAACAGGATTAATTTCCTCATGTTCTGCATGAAGCTCACCACTGAGGGTGAGCTGTTAATCTGTATGAAGAAAGTTATTTCCCTAACATTTTTGTGTGATGAGTAGGTTTTGGGTCTGGTTTTAGAGGTGATGACTGAAATACAGTGAAGAGGCTCACTGGCATTTTTCTCGATGCATATTTTTAGATTCTTATGCTCTATTTTTTTCAAAGTGTCTTTCCTCGAATGTGTTTGAAGCATGGATGTCAATTATTTTGGTGACAGCTGGAAAATGGGGCAGTTCTGCAAGTCTTATCCTGAGGTTTTTAGTTTGGATGCATGGAAAAATGGATGAGTACTCAACTAGCAGCCACCTATGGGAAACTGGAAAATTGATTTCAAACAATTTGGTTAGCATCACAAAGGGTTCTTGTGGGAGTCCAGGGACAGAGTTAAGGGGAATTTTTGACATTTTAAGCATACGCTTGTCTTTCCTTCTCCTGCCTTATTTGTTGCATTCCAGCTAAACTGTGTAACAGGTAGAGTAGGCATATTTCTGACAGTCCTTCATTATACAGCCTTCAAGCCTTTCGGCATGCAAAATGAACTAATGGGATTATCGGGGTCCAATTGATAAAATATTTGTGTTCTTGACATTAAAGTTTGTCTTGTGACTGCACAAGCTGACCAAATAGATGATTATTTGATTTTTTTTTTCCTCTTGGTATGCTCAATATTGTAAATTTAGTAGTGTTCTTTTCAGGTAGGTGGGTAGGACTATGTGTATGTAAATTTGTGTCGTTTCCTGGATGTAAAAAAGATGCCAGTTGTAAAAACAGGAATTCAGTAGTATTCATAATACTGACACCGTCATCATTCATCTAGACAAGCTGTATTGGAGCACTCACCACACAGACAGCTGACTTCTGAACAAACAGCGTGACAGCAAAGAAAGCTTGCCCACTACCACAGTATTCTGTTTCTAATACTGAAAACATCATTTGTGAGCAACGCAGTACCTCACTACTCTGTACAGATTAACAAATCCACTGTTTCACTTGGAAGTTTCTAGCAGTACAGGGGATAAAATACATTTGTTGGTGTCTTTCACGGTATGAACAGTATGTTCACAGCAAAGTAGTGAGCAGTCTGGCTGTCATCTGGTCTCTGGGTTGTTTGCAGACCTTTTTCTTCTCAGTCTGTACTCTAATATGTGCTGTCCTAATTTCTATTACCACTTTTTCTACCATCTTTGATTGCTGCAGAGTGGAAACTTCAATCAGTGAAGAGATCTTAGTAGAGTATTATTTAATCTAACATGGTAACATTTCATTATTTTAAGATTAAAATATAACCTTAAGACAATATGTTTTGTTATATGTAGCTGTTATACTGAGTGTATGGCGTGGAAAGGACTTGGGAAACCTTGGGCCAAAATGAGAAAGTTTCAGAAAACTAGTAACTTAAAGACTGAAAAATGCATTCTTTCCACCACTGTGTAACTTCTAGCATGGGATGTACAGATGCAAATGGAATAAACTTTAATTCTTCCTTTCTGCAAAACTTTTAAAGCATATTAGAAAAAAAATAGTTTTGCACAGCAACACTTTGAGTAGTTTAAATATAATTATGGAAGCTTGTCGGTATAGTGTGTTGCAACAAATGACATCTTACAATCTGTGATAGACACAAGATTTTGCTCAGACTGCTTTGCTGTTGTGGATTCATTCATAAGGTCCATCACAGGCACATTCCAGGCCTGTGATTTATGTTCTTGCTCATCACCCTCCCCCAGCTTTATTCTTTGACGCTTTGGGATTAATGGATAAGTCAGTGACATTTCAATTAGTGCTTAGAGTGTGCAAATAATTCACAACTGTTGGGTAGTTTCCTACTGTATTGTATACATGGGTTTGACATTTTACTCACAGACACGGTGGAGCATACTCAGATGCATTTTGAACTAAAAAGTTGTGTGATACGTAGAAAGTTATGAGTATCAGAAGATGCGTTTGTAAAAATTCTTGGCAATAGTCTAGATATTTATTCTAATCTTTAACTTTGCATTTTTATTCTTTCCAATATGAACTAGAGATTAAATAAAAGCAGGAGAACGAGATTACTTGTCAGAGTTTTTTCTTTTCCATTTAAAAGCAATCGACAGCCCAACCAGCAGCCCAACAACCTGTTAATGAGCAGCAATCTGGTCAGGTTAGTAAGTGCTGAAGTTCTTAGTCACAGCAAAGAAGTAGAATGATAAGTGGACTTCCAGGAAAGGAAGGCAGAAGGAAAGGAGGTTGTCTTGTGGTGAACTCTGACATTTCATTATCCTGCACTGCATTTCTCTGCAAAGTACCTATCTTTAAAAAGTAGAGCAGAAAATCTGGAAGTATCTGATACTCTTGCTCAAGAATAGTAATAGTAGCAGGTGGTCTTCTCTAACGGTTTGTTAAAAAAGGGCCATCTTCTTGCTCTGCAAAAAAAAGTATATTGTTCTCCTTGCAAACATTCCAAGAGCTTTCAGTTTGTTTTCAGTTTGCCCTGTTCTAACTGAAGTATTTCTTCACTCTCTTCTATGTATTTTATAACTTAGAGCAGTTTTTTTCCTCTGTATTTTATGCCAGTCTTTCTCAGCGGTGGACATCTACTAGAATTATTGGGATTCTTACAACAGTATTCAGAAAAACAGACCCTACTAGGTCCCACTGATTAAAACCCAGAGAATAATCTCTCACTTAGACATTGCATTTCAGTACCCTGAGGAGCAAAATGGGTTGGGGAGGAGAGGCGTTTGCTTTTTCTTGAGGATGAAATTCGAATGTGGGTTGCTGTTCCTCACTTTGAGAAGCAATATGCACATAATAGAAAGTGAACTTTTCAGAGACATCATCCAGATCTAGATACCTGACATTAGCTTTTTATTAAGGAAATTCTAATTGCTGGAAGAGTTAAATATACTGTTTATAATTTGTGTTTTACTATAGCTGAATCACGAGACAGGATTAATTGGCAAAAAGGAGGCATGGTTGTGTGGGCATCCTTCTTCATCCAGACATGAATCTGTGCTGGGATGAAAAGGTTTTGGGTCCTGCCTTTAAATGAGCATGGGTTAGTGGAGAATTAGCACAAAGCAGGATGCAATATAGTTCACTAACCAGCCCTGCATAGCGCTTCCCGCCTGTCCCTTCTTTTTCACCCACTGTGTGGAGAGCTGCAATATCCAAGAGCAAGAGACATCTTGACCCAAGTGCTCTCTGAGTGTACACAAAGGTAATCTCCAGGTGGGCATGCCAGAAGCTGAGGAACCCAAATCCTGTTTTTCCTTGAAAAGGCACTATATTTTCCTCTGGAGGCCCCTCACTTTACCTGCCTCCTCTCCCATGTGGGAAGTCAGGTTAACTTAACTCGCTTTAGACCGTCCTTCATCTGCTGGTCACATATGGCAGCACCGCAGCGAGGGGACACAGCGAGGTTTGGCCAGTGCTGGGGGCAGGGCTGGGGGCTGCTGCCTGGCCAGCTGGCAGCTCCCTCAGCGAGACTGCCCTTCAGGCGTGTTTGAACAGCTGGGGCATCCCACAGGGCTGCAAAGTGGCTGAGAGTCACCTGATTCTCCACTCTTCCTTTAAAAACACATTTGTAGCTTTGCTGTCCTGCCTGTGAATCAGTGATATGAGGCTGAAGTGAGACTGTCCTAATGGAGCTTTGGATCCAAAGACTAGACTCTGATTTTGAATTTCTGCCGTTGAGCGGCAAAATTATTTGTCGGGAATTAGGTACCGAACTCCCAGACCAACAGAGAGGCATAACCAGAGGATGGCTAAAAGATGGTGTTTTGAGAGAGTAAAATGAAGAGACCTGTTAATAAATCTAGAAATGCGTAGAAATTCAGTACAATTTACAGTTAAAGGTGTCTTAAATTCCATTTTAGCAGACGCAGGCTTTTTCTTAAGATATCCATTAACACATACATATATACATCAATTGACAAATACCCCGCATACAAAACTGTAATGAAAAGATGGAAGTATTCAAAAGAAAATGGACTGAAGTAATCTTTACAATATTTAAATCTACTTTTCTCATATATGTGTTACCTCCCAGCCTGTTTTTGTATTGTTACATACTTTTCTCATTAGATCCTACCTGCTGTAAACTCCCAAACTGGCTGTTGTAGGAAGTAAGATGAGATTGTACATACTGTGGACACACGTGTCAAAGATTCTCTTCTGGATACACAGAGAAGTTCTACACACTGTCAGCAAAGTGCAGGGAAAGATGACGTTAGCAGAAACCTTGTGAAAATCGAATTAATATAATGCATATTTTCAGTTTGTTTCCCTGAAAACATTGAAGTTTCTGATTCAAACTGCAAAGCAGCCAGTTGTTTGCCCCGTATGTGACAGTTTAATGGCAATCTTTTAATTTCCTTCTCTTACAAAATTCCAGAATGCTCTTATGCACACTAAACCAACCAATTGGCCAGGCTCCTACCCCTCCGAATGCTCTTTATGCCTAGAATGAATGTAGGGGGTGAATATTTTAAAAGACGTATAGATGACAATGTTTCATTACTATCTGGAAAAGGACCCCCTAGGACAAAGACATTAAGAATGTTAATCCTGTTCTTATAACATCTTCCTAAAACACTGTGCAGTAGAAAATATTTAATTAGCTTTGTAAAATTGTTAGCAAACTTAAAAGCCCTGAGCTGAGGGCAGAGGGGGAACTGTCTGACCATTACACATAAGTAGATTATCTTTTTGCCCTTTGAACTCATGAAATTGTAATAACGAAACAAATTCAGTAGTCACCTGTCCAAAATGACCCAAATGTGAGAATAAATGCTTTTGCTCTAATGAGTGTCCCTGCTGTTGTAAATGCATTCATAAAATAAAATTTTAATTAAAGAGAGCAAAGCTTATACAATAATTAAGTTTGGTACCTTGTGTGCTTCTTGTTCTGTAGCTACAATGGTAGTAGGTACAATGTAGAGAAACTAAACCATGCTGCAGTATTTAATGCATTAGCAAACTATCTTAGCCTGGTGAACTGCAGAAAGGATGCAAATGTCTGACAAGTAAAAGTATCCCCGTATAAGAAGGTACCTCCCAAAGTGTGGTTGGGTAACTGAAAAGTTTTGCTGATGGTCACACTTTTCAGTTGTATTCACTTTTCATTTCTGTGGCCATTTCTTTGCTGTAGAGCTTCCCTAGTCCAGAAGCTACCATTGTGGAGTGGGTGGAGGAGCCCAGGTTTTATTGGATATGTGTGTGTATACATTACACACACACACACACTTGTATATGCTATATAGTACTATAGTGTACTGTGTATGAACATGAAGTTATACAGGATCAGACACAGATGGGCCTTATCTTTTAAGAGTAGTACAGGTTCTCCTTCCTTGTTTAGGGAACGTAGAAAAGATCCCTTCTGACCATCACGCTTATCCTCCTCATTAGCGTGCTACCGTAGCTCACAACCCACGTATCTCTTTTTAGCTCTTTGCTCTGGGGCATTGTTGAGAATTCCCTGCTATAGGATGGTGTTCCCATTTTACATGCAATGTTTCGCTGACTGCAGGGACCGGCATCATAGGCCTGTCTGTCCCTGAAGAAAGGGTGGTCCCAGTGGCCATGAAATACCTGCAGAAGACAACCTGGAGGCACCCAAGCCTTTAGCTTAGGGTGTTCAGAAGGGTGCTTTCATAGGTCTGGACATGTGTTGTTCCTCTGCAGGTTGGTGGCTGTAGAGACTGTTCTCTCTTTGCTGCTTTTAAAGAATTTCTTATATTAAGCAAACTCTCTTTATAGAATGTTTGGTTTAGGATATGCTTTTTCTACTTTTTTTTAATCTTCCTTTTTATTTAAAAAGCATCTTTGTGATAAGTTAAAACTCCGTGAAAACTCACCTAGAAAGTTGGTATTACTTGTAAAGCAGGAAAACGAGACAATTTAAAATTCGGACTTGAAAACAGTAATCAATGAGTATTTGCCAACTGTTACCAGTACTTACCTGTGACATAAGTGTTCTCTCTAGGGTGTTTGATTGCTATTTTTTATTACTCTACTTGATGAAATATCAAGTCATATTCCAGTTTAATTCGTTCTCCTATTACATGACTGTCCATAAAAATTTTTGCACTACTATAATACAGGTAATTAATTCTGCCTTTACTGGTAAAGCTGCTACTCTGATGTTGTATTCATCTGTTACTGAGCTGTTCTCAGGTATTCTGAGATGGTCTTAGTAGCTTCTTGTACCACTTAAGTAAGAATCTTTATTTTTTTTCATTTACAATTGCATTCCATATAATAATTTTTTGACTTGTGGATTGTCTATCTGTTTTGAGTTGGAAACATACATTCAGAAGTAAATTATTTAGCCTATTATTTTACTGTCATGTTAGTTAGCACTGATGTCTTTCTGGTGTTAATTTCACTTGGTGATCCAAATTTTCTAACTAACTATTTAAAAAAAAAAAATATATATATAAGGATTTCATATTACCTTTAAATGTTAGCAGGAGTCCATGTGGCACAGTCGACTTGAGCACCGAATCTGAAAATTTTTTGGATGCATTTGTTGGTTCCTCTACTATTGAATGTCTTGTTTCTCAAACTTGGAAAAAAGTGTTACCTTTCACTGCTTCAGAGGATACCTCTCTAAAACTATTCCAGTAATATCTACTTTGTTTTGTTAAGAGCTCTAACTGAAGAGCATAAGAAAAACTATCTTACGCTCTTCTGAAGTCAGATGTCGTTGAGTGGGGATGTGAGGCAATGGGTGTTTCCACAAGTGTCTTTGTTAGTAACTTGTGACTAGGATAAGAGCAACAACAATTATTTTTGACAATTTTGATAATTTTGACAACACAGGAGGTTCCACTTCAACTGGAGAAGAAACTTCTTCTCAGTGAGGGTGCCAGAGCATGGCCCAGGCTGCCCAGAGAGGTTGTGGAGTCTCCTTCTCTGCAGACATTCAAAACCTGCCTGGCCGTGTTCCTGTGTGACCTGGTCTG